AGTTAATTGATTTGTTTTCTTGATATTTACCAGTACTATTGATCAGTCCATCTCCTAACCAAAGTCTGAAACCGTTGTAGCCTACAGATTTGCTGATGTGCTCATTGGAGCTCAAGAAGAACTCCAGTTTTACTGGATCTGAAACCACGATGCTGGGTTTCGAACCCAACCATAGACGCACCATCAACCCATATTCCTTGACCAACTTCTGCTGATTCTCGAAGAATTCTGTTTACAAAAATGCAATTATTTCAAAATAATAGAACTTTTGTAATCGATGCAAATACCTGCAGTATTTTTCGCGAATCCCAGGCTATTTCCAAAGAAAGGAACGGTCGGTGGTCCCGGCAACTTATTTATATCCCTATACTTCTTGTTTTCATTGTATTTATTTATTAGCACCGAAATGAGGAGCGCGAGAATCGCAGCAATATAAATATGATACATCCTACACAAATGATCACAATACACTAGCAATCTTACTTGATCATTGACTCACTCGTCAAGATCAGTGTGCATAATGCAAGTGTATGTATCTATTGCGTGCTGATGCGTAGACTGAAAAAATAGAAACACTCGGTTTACATAACATTTGCTCCTTCTGATAACACTTTTTTTTGTATTTATGTGTATAAGTAGAAAAATAAATATGTCAAGTATATTATTTACGCATTTCTACTTTTCCACTCCTCGTGTCTGTATGTGTATGTGTGTATTTTTGTACATTTTCGTAACACCTATGTAATCCGCATGTTATATAATTCCAGGTGATAACAACACAGGATACTTTTCTCTCTCTATCTCTCTCGGACTAATTGTATTTGTAATATTTAATCAATAATGAGGCGAGCGGTTATCGGTTTAGTGCATTTATGTTAATCCGAGTGATAGCATTCTTTAGTTTCGCGGAGGGACAAATACCCCGTATCTGTCGCACAACAATTTTTAGTTGTTCAGAAGTGCAAACAGTAATTTTTTTTTTCAACAACAAAATCTCTGCATTTCCACGAATCGCTCTCCCGATAAAGGTTTGGTATTTGCAGTACACGAAACATTGATGATTCTCTATTGTATTTTTGTAATACGCAGTGCATTAAAGTTTTGTTTCCTTGAAAATTTTTGTTTGATCCTTACGATATCAGATAGAAATCACAAGTCACATTGTCCTTGTGTTGTTTGCTGATTTGTCTACGTACTTAATTTGATGATTTAACTAAATTTTTAATTACTTAAGATTAATAAAACTGTAGCAAATATATTAAGAAAGTTTGTATTTTGATTTACATTTGAGTTTATAGCAAATAGTCTTTTTTGTCTTATTCTAATATATCAAATACAATTCACATATTTATATAGTGATAAGTTGACTTAGACACTCAAAGACAATGAAATTTGTTTAAACAAATTGAAGTCAAATAATATACTATTGTCATATATCAATTTTCGTAATCTGACGTGTGAAGATTGTCAAATTTGATGTTAATTTTAATTTTCGGGATCCTATATTTATTTAGAGGTGATTAGTTAAAATTGTGAGTGTCAATAGTTTTATTGTGATAATAATACCAAAACAGTATTTGAAATATTTTAAACATATAGAAGTTAAATAATATACTATTATCATATATCAATTTTGACAATCTAACATATGAAGATTGTCAAATTTGACATTCATTTTAATCTTCAGGATCATATATTTATTTACAAGTGATGAAGTAACTAAGTCTAGAGACTTATCACTCTGAGTGTCAATAGTTTTATTGTGATGATAACAACAAAAATTATTCGAAATTGCATTTTTTTAAACAAATTAAAGTAACAATATACTATTATCATATGTCAAATTTGACATTAGGACACAAAGTTGAGTCGATTCTTCAAGGATTCAATGAAACTATCAAATTAATTTGTTAACAAAATATCGAGAATATATATACTTAAAAGTTAATCTATTATATTATAAATGATATTTTAGAAATAAAAAATGTAATTTACTTACTTTACACCTAAACTTTTTGGTATAACATTTTTTTTTTTAATCTCAGTCATAATATAAAATATATATAATATTTGGGGTTTGTTGTGGTTCAACTACCCACAACAAGACTCTTGAAGAGCCACAGTTTGGTCACACCTGTTATATAACATTTAAAATTTCAATAAAAGTTCAAATATCTAAAATAAAGTAAACAATACTTCTGTATGGACAAGTTGCAAATAAGTAACTTGGAAATTAGTGAAATCGAGATACTAAAATTTAAAAATTAGTGAATTTATCTGTAAATTATCAAATTAATTTTTCTAAAAGATGTAACTGTGTCAAACGATCAAGGTTGCATTTTAAAATGAAAATCCTTGATGGAGACCTTGATACGCAATGTAGATTTTTGTTACCTATCAACGATAACGATAAGATTTGGATATTATTAACGTCTGCAGTTTTATGTGTGTGTTTTTTTTTTGGTGCGTACAAACTTTGATTACTTGTGATTACTCCGCCAGACATAATTGCAAATCATTTAGTCTCTGAATTGACTCATTTCTTTCAGCATTTTTTTGTCTTTACGAGTTCGAATTTTTAACTCAAACTACTTACTTTAGTTTTATTTTTATTCGTTTTACTTATATCAAATTTTCAGAGAATGCCGATTTATTTCATTTTTATTATATGTTCCATGTTAACAGGCTACAAACGTTTTTATGTTTTTTTTTAAGTATAAAAATTCTATTGAAATGTCTATACATAAACTGCATTTTACATGCATGTAAATGGGACACGAAATTGCAATTCTTGGTAAGGTTATTCGTCGAGTTTAAGGATGCAGCTAGTGATTTAGTGACCTTCTGACTTTTAAACACCCTCGTTTATAACGTGCTCATTTCTAAACGCTTTTGCTGCACGTTATTTAACATTCTCCACGAAAAGGTCGATTCGCTTAAGACTCTCCAATACGAATCCAATTGGTTAGCAGACGACGCTATAAATAATTTGCTGCATCCTCTATCTTCCAATTGTGTTATGTGTTGATTAATTTATAACGAATTATTTTTGGTTTCCTTCGAGTTCGGAGATAGAAATTAAGTTTTCATGTGCTTCCAATTCTACAGCATTTCTAAAGTTCTACATTTCCTGTTCCAATCCGAGGTTATTCTTTGTTGTTAAGAAAATTATGTGAGTTTCTATATGAATTATAGCTTAAAATATATTAATTTAAGTTCATTCTCTGTAATCCGGTTTAAAAATTATCTATCTATCACTCTGTAAGTCCGTTTTCAAACAGTGTGAGGTACAGGAATAACTTTTAATAACTTCTATAGAGGTAAACCTACGAATTGGATTGGAATAAACGTTTAGTAACAACTTTATTCAAAGAAACTCCAAATATCGTTTTATAAATTATAAGAAAATTTATGGATTTTTTTTCTTGATGTTATAAAAGAAATCTTATAACTGCAATACTGTGTGAAAAGCTTGTTAGGTATTCGTAAACGCAGCTAATAATTTAATTAATCAATACGAATATTATAGTTTGATTTAAATATCATGTTTTTTTTTATACACAAGCTTATTTTGAGAATATCTGGAATTCTACTGAACTCATTTACAAATTGAGTCTTTCGCAACTATTTATTTACACGTGTATTTGCTGCCTTTAAAACGTGTTCGGCTTTGATTCCCGGAATCACTTGATCGCGATCTACATACGAACGGAATGTTTTTGACGAAGGAAAGAAGAAAAAAGTGGAGAAGAACTGTTTTAATCAAAGACATTCTAAAGTCAACCAGTATAAACATATCAGTGGAAGACCTTAATTATTTTCGTTTTTTTTTTAACTATTAATTCCCAGAAATATGTTTTCATTAAAAGAGGAAAAAGTAATTTTCATTTTTCATTATTCATTATTACGTATTGAATTTATTTCGTTAATATTTGCACGGGTCAAACCATCAGGTTGATTAAATTTCATATTTGCAACGTTTTAATATAAAATTGGAATTTCCCTGCAAATTTTCATTTATTTTTACCCAGATGCATTTAATTACACGTATATTTAATACATTTTCATTTCTACTTCCATTTCAATAAAATCATTGGCACATGATCATAAATCATTGTTTACTCAGCGTTAAATTTTGTAAGTTTTGAAATGACAGATGTCACCTTGTGTTAAAGTGTCAACAAAAAAAATTAAGTATTCAGGTGGAGATACAATTATAAAAATGTTGAAAAATTAATTAAATTTTGCAAGAAATCATTACTTAAAAAAAGTGGTATTTTTTAATTTATATTATTAATACTAGATTACTAGAGACGTCTTACAGTTGCTAATCATATTACGTTTGACACGACGTTTGGCTATTGTTACTTCACCAATGACATTAATGACAGTTGCTACCCTTGTTGCTTTACTATGTTTCCAATTCTGTTACTAAGAACGCGTTTTATTTGCTATGCTACCAGTGTGCTAAAGATAATATCGCTGTTTCGAATAATACTTTGAGATTGGTATACTATCAATCATACTTGCTAATGACGGTGATCTTTTTACTAAGATCATCTTACGGTTTCTATGCTACCAATGACAGTTGCTAAAGACTCTACAGCTGTAAGTAATGATGCTTTGCGTTTGCCATGATCTGTCATTGAACAGTTGCTAATGACGGTACTCTTTTTAGTAACTACACATTGCGAATCCTATACTACTATTGACATTTATTAAAGATGCTATTCTTTTTTTTACTAAGGAAACCTTGAGGATGTATTGAAATCAATGGAAGTTGCTCAAGTTGAACATAAAAATAATAGTAGAATTTAGTTACTTTGTCTTCCTAATTGATAATCGAAAAAAATATTTAGAGTGTATTTTTCTGATTAATAAAAGAATGAAAATAATAATTACAAATTCAATTAGAATTGAAAGTAATTTCTTAAATTACAATAGCACATAATATAGAATTATTTTTATCTATTTTTCAACATGATTGGAAAACCGTTCGATGAAGTTAATACCATATCACTTTCGACTTCTAATTGGAAATTACTTTTCGGAAGGATGTGGAAATGCTTGATGATCTTAGCTATGGCGCATTTCATCTCGTACATAGCAAATCGTATTCCTGAAATAAAATTTATTATTACTAATGATCAGAATTTTGTACGATATTTTACAAACCCATGCAGTTCCTTGGACCAGCGCTGAAAGGAAGATAAGCATAGGCGTGTCTTTTGCTTATATTCTCCAACAAAAACCTATCAGGATCGAACCTATCCGAATCAGGATAAATTTCTTCGGATCTGTGCATTCCAAACGCGAATATCGTGACGACAGTATTTTTAGGAATATGCACATCCTCTGAAAATTAAATCTATTTAGATTTTTATAATAAATCTAGTATTATTATTATTACCAATTTTAAGATCCTCTTCAATTAGTCTTTCATAAAACGGGATTGGTGTGTATTTCCTCAAAGCCTCCTTGATGCAACATTCGATGTAGCTCATATTATTCATTTCATTAAGCGAGTAGTAGTCGTTTTTTAGTAAATTCAAGTCAACGAGTTCGTTGTAAATCTTCTCTTGGATTTCTGGATGAAGAGACAGTTCGAATAGCAGAAACGATAAACACGTCGAGACGGTATCGTATCCCTAAAAACAAACAAGCAGTATTTGTTGATTCATTAACATCGTTAAAGGAAAACAGAAGAGATTCACGTACAGCGATGATGAAAGTTACGATTTGCTTCCTTATTTCCTCGTACGATATGTCTTCTTCGCTGCTGTACATGTTGAGCAATTGATCGATGAAAGCCACCTTTGTCTTAATTCCAAATTCGTCTTCATCTCCGGTCGAATTCTGTCCGCGTCTCTCTTCTATCCTCTGGGATATAATAGAATTGGCGTAATCCCTTGCGAATTCGATGTATTTCTGTTGGATTTTGTGATCTTCGGTGAAACTAAATATGAACTCGTTGCTGTACACAAGAGAGAACAACCTGGACATGGCGATCTTGAAGAAGCAGTGCACGGCGTCAACGTAAGCCAAATGCTTGTCGCTGTCGTCATTAAACTTAATTCCCATTGCGGTTTCTTTAAAACTTTACAAATTAGAATTTGTTAAATCATTTCAACATTTAACACATTACCTGTAATCGTCTCGAGCGTAGAGATGCTTACAAACTTGTTTATATCAATTTCCTTGTTTACGTTCTTGCTTAACTTTTTGATTAGCGAATCTGATGCAGAGTTGAATGTCACGTTAAATTGATCCAGCAGTTTAACGTGGAAACATTGCGTGAAAGATTTTCGGTTTTTCCTCCAAATTTCTCCTGCAATTAAATCAATTTATGTTTACATTAATTACCATTTACGTGAGAAAATAAGATACCTTTTGCAGAAACTATACCGTCTTCAACCATAGGAATATAGAACTCGTAAATATCGGATTTGTTTATGTGTTTACTAGAGCTTAAGACGTGTTGGATGTATTTTGGATCGGTCAACACCAATTTGAATTGTTTTGGTCCCAAGTACAATTTGAACACACCTCCGTACTTCTCTTGAAGACCTTTGAAATTCCATAAAATATCTATAAAAGAAAATAAAAATATTACAATAGTCAATTAATTAAACCAATTACTACATTACGACAGACTAATATTTGAATGCTTTGAAATTATATTGATCTTTTTTAATACAATTTTATCATACGAATTAGGAACAAAATATGTTTGAATTTCCATTAAATATTAAATATAAAAAATCATTCAAAAATATAATTTTACATTTAAAAAAAAGTAAGATTTACTAATTACTATTGAGATGCGGTTTCATGCTACATAGAAAGTTGAAGAAAGTGCACATTTTTGGAATAAATGTATCTTTGCTTTTTTTAGTAATAATCTGATATTTTTTTACTTTTAAGGCAATTAATAGATTTTTGTTTATTTTTTCCGCTAATAGAAAGTTTGAGAAATCACTGATCTTCTTCGAGATTAAGGAATATGCAAATTAACAATTAACATAAACAAAATAATCAAATTTGTGTAAAAAAAGATATTTGTTAATTAATAATTCGTAAAATGCAGACAGTTGCAATGAATGTAATTTCTTTTAGTTAATGAATGTGAATAAGGTATGAATGGATGTAAACAGTTTTTTTGAATGACGTTTTTCAGTGTACACTGTATGAATGATAATACTAATTGTGTTGTTGTTTATGAAGTAAGTTCACTGTTTTATTTATTTATTTTTATACTAATTACCAATATGTTGATAATACATTAATATATATATATAGATTATTTTTGTAATTAACTGTAGAAATTAATTACCTTTCAAGTTTGTTCCAAATTCGAGAATGTTTCCTAAAACAGGCAACGGTTTCGGACCAGGAACTTTAACATTTCTATACTTGTATAATTGCAAGTACCATTTTACCAATACGTAAGTTATGAGTGCAGCAAACGCAAAAAAGATGTACCCGAACATGTTTACTTTTGGACGTTCTGTATACAAATACAGGCACAACTGGAATTTCGTGTTCTTAAATATTTGTCCTTGCAAAAAAAAATATATTATTGAACTGTTGAATCATTTCAGTTCGATTTATCATCTCCATTAAATTCCTGCACGAGTATTTTTCATTTAATTATTACGGTTTAAAAACAGAAAAGCTATATTTTATACAACATTCAGATTATTTTTTATTCCTTTATAAGGTATACATATGAATTATTTCTTTTGTTTATCAAAATATATTGTTTTTGACTGATATAAGTGAGACGAAATTGTTTGTCGAATACCAAATTTTTGGCCATGAAAAGTTATTAATATATATTTATAGGTAATTTCTTTTAAATATTCATATAAGAAATTTAGGAATTTCACGAAAACATAAATTTCATTGCTTTTATGGACAAACAATGTAATGAATATTTATAATACAAATGTTTGTTGTTAAATTCTTAACATTTGACATTCACAATGTAATTTAATTGAAATATTAGATAAGATTAATAATTTCTAATTATTTAATATTATAACAGTGTTTCTCAACCATTTTGCTGCAACTAGATTGATTATAACCTAAAATTTTTGATGTTTTGACGCAAAGTGACAGCTGTCATTTCGCGACCCATTTAACCTAAACTCGTCTACTATCCACCGGGAAAGATTATCCAATGTCAATGTCAATCTTAAATTTACTCAATGTTCACATTGATGAACAGAATAAAATTATACGACATAATAAAAAAAATATACGAATCAATAAAATGCTGCGACAATTTGAGTCCGGGTAAATTTTGAGCCTTTTTAAGGTTTTCATCAAACCGAGTTATAGAAAATCAGCGTTAATCGAGACAGCGCTAAACGAGGTCTTACTGTATATGAAATACACTTTTTTTATTAATCCAATTTTAAATATTGGTTTAAAACTCAACTCACATATCTTATTTCGACACATTTTTTTGTTGACAAACAAGTATTTTATGTATTGATAATTTCTTATTCATTAAATTATTATTCAAATCATCTCTTGAAATAATTAATTTTATTAATATTTATTTCAGAATACTTTAATTTTTTTTTTCTTCATAGATCAATGACAAAAATTGTATAAATTTAATAATTTTTTTATACAACTTTTCTGCTATGCAGTGAATTATGTTAGACTACTAAACGAACATAAATAATAACTGAATATCCAATTTATTATTTATTTTGCAACAGTTAAATTTTATTTTAAATAAATAATAATAATGTTTATTGCATCAGTCGTATAACAAAAAACATATACAAAAAATAACAACAACAAAATATATAAAATTTCAAAAAAAGTGTTTTTGCCGGGTTTTATTTTATATTTATTATTGTTATGTATACTATGAAACCACAAAGTTCATTGAAAATACTTCTGTTATTAATTAACAAATTTTAATTAACAGTTGCTTAACTTTGATTCAAAAACATCAGTACTATAAGCTATTATATTTTTTTACTTGTTTTATCTCATGGCACACTTGAACCTATAATTAAACTTCCACAACATTCATAAATTATTTTTCTTATTAAAAATTACTGGTGTCAGTTATTATTTCGTTAATTTTATTCATTCCATTATTTTTATTTTTATTCATTTTATTGGTCATAATCCATGTTTCAATAAAATTTTAAAACGTAAACAAATTATCAAATCTTTATTTTCTTTCCTTTTTCTCATATTTTCTCTAAAAATCTACTTAAATGATGTAACAACAGTTTATTTTTTTATTACATAATTATATTCGTTTCTTGATTGAAATAAAATCTTACTAACAATAATTCACACAAATACAACAATAGTCTGTTTGAGAGCGGACTAAACGAGGAACTAAAAAGAGACCAAGTGAAAGCTTTGTAGAATTTATTTTATTTTGATCAATTAAAATTTAACTTGTTCAACCGTAGAAAAAACTGTTTTATTACATGAATAAAATTGATGTATTTCTATAATTAGATATAAAAAATAATGTGAAGTTGCATTTCGTTGTTATACGTGATTTGTATGCAGCAGAACGCAAGCGCTGACGTCAATGAACCAAATTCTATTAATTGTCTCTTGTCCATATTCGACAAACCATTAATTACAGTTGAGAATGAAAAAAAACGAGAAAGAAAGAGAGATATAGTCAAATAAAGAGAAAAGCCTTGACTTTGTGTTTGCTCGAGATTTATAGTTTGCAAGAAAAAGAAGTCTAGATTATTATTATAACGGAGGACAGTTCACTTTCATTTGCAAATTAAATGAAACACATAAACATGTTTTAGAACATTCCTTGACCCACATCCACAATGTGTATAGATGGAAAACGGATCCGCTTTTGCAGAATTAATCAATTAGTTCATTTCTAATTTACACTTAATAAAATCTACAGGGTATCGAAATTTTATATTGCACTTAAGATTTATTAAATTGTTTCAATAAAATCTTGACAATTTTAGTTGGATTTAGTTATGATTTACACTTAAAAAAAATTGATTTAACGTATCATCTTTTTGTAAGATTAACTGGGAAACCATTCATGGATTTCAAGATTCCGTCGCTGTACAATTTCGGCTCAAAGTCTTGCGATATTGGCTGCATTCTGTAATTGTAGACGATTTTTGCGAGGAGACACTTCATTTGGAACATCGCGTATTTCTAATACCAAAACTGAACGGAATGAAAGCCAAAGGATCTCGTCCTTCGCTGTTTGCAGCTGAAAATCTTTCAGGATCAAATTTCAGTGGGTTTTTGTACACCTGTTCGGAGCGATGCAACTGGAAGATGAAAATGTTGATGTTCGTGCTTTTTGGAATAATGGAATTATCTGTAAACAAAATAAATGAACAAGAAGTCAATTAGTTATTTGGTTCCACGCAAGATTTCTGGCTTTGACTCACCAACTTCAATGTCATAATCCAACTTGCGTTCTATATAAGTAGCTGGGCTGTATAAACGAAGACCTTCCTTAACCACGCATTCCAAATATTCCATGGAATTGCTATCTTAATTGAAATGCATTTAACATCTTCAATAATACTTGAGACCTCTTCGTATAACCTCTCTTGGATTTCCGCATGCTTGGAGAGCTCGTAGAGAATGCTCGAAAGGAAACAAGTCAACGTGTGATTGCCATAAATCATGTTTTTTTTTTTTCTATTAAACTAAACCTTTAAACCAATTAATTAATATTTACCGCAGTCAAAATTGTACTTAATTCTTCGTTGATATAATCGTAAGGTAATTCCTTTTCATTTTTAAATCGCTCCAGTAAAATATCCAAAAATGTACTCTTCTTTTTAATCCCCAAATCCGCGTCGTCGGAGTTTTCATCATCACGCCGATATTTCATTTCTTCCATCCTCTTATTCACTACGCAAGTAGTAAAGCTGCGAATCTCTTGCAAACAAACTTGCTGCCTTTTGTGATCAGGCAACAATTGGAACAAAGAGTCGCTTCTTTTGATGATCGAAAACATCCGTTCCGTGCTAATATCCATGTACTTGTAAATATTATTAGAAAACTTCAAGTTTTCCTCCGGATTTTCATCGAAATCCAAACCCAATATACTTTCTACAATTCAAATATTATTACAATTTTATCATTATTCATTTCATCATTACTAATTTCATCATCAATTAAAGCAGTAACTAACCGTAAATTATATCCATGGTTGTATGATTGACGTAAGGACATACATCCACTTGTCTTCCAAGAATTTCCTCGAATCTTTGCACCAATTTGTTTCCGACTTCATTGAAAACTCGATTAAATTCTTCCAACATTTTGTATTGAAAGGCCGATTGCAGAGCCTTCCTGTTCTTGCGCCAAATTGGTTCTGGAAGGAAATCATAACACTTTTATCACAGGAATCAAAAAAAAATCTTCTAAATTATACCTTGAACACACAATATTCCATTGCCGG